GTCTCAACAGTTCCTTCTTATTTATCTTTGGATATAGTTGTTCCCAGTATAAAAATGCTATGGAAGATAACGCATTTTGATCTCGAATAGTGAAATCTTTAGCCTCTTGACCAAGGTTTACTTAGTGATCTCCCAGGCTTCATGCTAAGACAACAAAGGATCTTTATGGTTTAGTTTGGTGTGATCCAATGAATTGAGTCAGATAGGTCTTGGTTTGAATTCCAGCTCTGTAACTGTTTAGTTAAATCCAGCTATTTAGTTTTAGGAGACTAAAACTTGGAGAGTAATAAGTAACTTTAATAAGTAACTTGACCGAAGAGGTAGAGTTAAGATTTAAATTCAGATTATCTGAGTGTGGCACTGGCAAAACTTGGTTTAGAAAGCATATGTATTCATATATAACTTTTAAAAATAAGCAGATATTCAGAATATGTGATTTTGCAACACATTTACATTAGTGACTTAAAGGCAGGGTTATAAAACTTATATGTAAATTGTCTAAAATATAATTCTGTCTATTCTTTTAGTAACCAGAAAATTAGACAAAATCCTGAATCTGATATGTATATGCTTAAAATCTTTGTACATTATTTAAACATCCAACAATTTTTATCCCCTCCCCTAAAAAACACCCTGCAAATAACCAAAGAAAGTATGTATTCACGAAAGAAAATTAAATCATCTCTGAATTGGGAAAATGAGATATTTAAATTTGAAATGATTATAATTTTTGTAGCACTCTTTTATCCACAGCTTCAGAATTCAGGCCTTTCGTTTCTATAATTGAGAAGATGCTATTTGTATGATTTAGCTGTTTGATTTTCATTCTGAATATGTATTTGTCTGAGTACAAAAAAGAAGAATAAATTAATAATTCATAAACTAAAAAGCATTTTTATATTATCCAATTTGATCCTAAAGACAACTCTATGAGATAAGTAGGACTGTGCTGAGAAATCTAACATTTGAGAGGTTGAGGTACCGGGAAATGTAATGGTCTAGAGCTGGCCGTTGAATGAGTCAACCTAATTTTAAATCTAACGTTTGCCACAGTTCTTTAAAATGCAAATAATCTTTAAATCTTTAAAATGTAGTTAATAATACCTGCTTCTTGACTTGATTATGAGGACTACATAAAATAATATATGTCAGATGGTAAGTTTTCAGGCAGACACAAGGGCAGTATGTGTAGGGTCTCTTCACAGATTCCAGGGGTGGGGAACCTCTTTTCTGTTAAGGGCCATTTGGATATTTATAACATCATTCAAGGGCCATACAAAATTATGAACTTAAAAATTAGCCTGCTATATTTGGTTAAACAGTTAATTAACTCACCCCTGCTTGGCAAGAAGGCCAGACCAAATGACTTCATGGGCTTTATATGGCCCGCGGGCCGGACGTTTCCCACCCCTCCAGCACCATAAGCACTGAGAGGTACTGCTTTTAGCTCAGGGTGAGCCAGGGACTGGCTTCTTTCACTTAGCATAATGTTTTCAAGGCTCATTCATGTTGTAACATGTATTAACTACATGACTAAATAATATGCCATTGTGTGGATCACCACACAATGTTTATTCATTCATTGGTTGATGGATATTTGGGTTGGTTTCACATTTTAGCTATGATTTGAATAATATTCCTCTGAACATTTGTGGGCAGGTTTTTATGTGGATATGTATTTTTAATTCTCTTGGTCTTTACCTAGGAGGGGAATTTCTGGATCACATGGTTAGTTTATGTTTAACATTTTGAAGAACAGCCAAACTCTGTATCAAAGTGGCCTCATTATTTTACAGTTCAACCAGCAATGTATGATGATTCTAATGTCCACTTCCTCATCAACACTTGTTATTGCCTGTCTTTTTTATTACAGCCATCCTAAGTAGATGTGAAGTGCTATCTCACTGCGATTTTGATTTGCATTTCCCTAATGACTAATGATGTTGGGCATCTTTTCATGTGCTCATTGCCATTTGTGTAAAGTTTTTGGAAAAATGTCTATTCAAATCCTTTGCCCACTTAAAAAGTTTTTATTCATTTAAACAGTTTTAGATTTACAGAAAAATTGCTCAGATTGTGCAGAGAATTCCCTTAAACACCACAACCAGTTTCCCTATTATTAACATCTCACATAAGTATGGTACTCAAGGTACAATTAATGAGCCAATATTGATGCACTATTATTAACTTTATACTTATTTAGATTTTTTTGGATTTTTCCCTGATGTTGCCTTTCTGTTCCAGGATCTCATCTCGGATATCACACCACATGTAGTCGTCATATCTCTATAGGCTCCTCTTTACTGTGACAGTTTCTTAAACTTTTCTTGTTTTTAATGATTTTAACAGTTTTGAGGAGTACTGGTCAGAAATTTTATTAAATGCCATTCTTCTGGAATATTTTGGATTTTTTCCCATGATTAGACTGGAGTTACGGTTTTTTGGGTGGAAGATCACAGTGCTATAGTATGATTTTCATAATATATCAAGGGTACATACTATCAACGTGTCTAATATGTTGATGTTGACCTTGAACACCTGATGCGGTAGTGTTTGCCAGGTTTCTCCATTATAAAGTCACTCTTCCCTCACCCTTTCCATAGTCTAATAGCCACTATGAGCAGCTCATCTTTAAGAAGTAGGGAGATAGGCTCCATCTCCTCGAGAATGGAGCACCTTCATAAATTAATTGGAATCCTTCTGCAAAGAGATTTGTCTCTTTCTATTCATTTAAAAAATTTTTCAATTATTTATTTATATTGGTATGTGATATTTATTTCACACTTTGGGTTATAATCTAATAATACTTTATTTATCTTATTCCAGTTTGGGCTATTGGGAGCTCTTACATTTGGTTCCTGTGTCCCTTTGAGATGGGTCTATCATGGTGGCTTTTTATAACCACTTCCTTCCTTTCTGGCACCACTAGGTCCTCCAGGCTCATCTTATATATTTCCTTCCCTAGTCCTAGCATCAGCCATTTTCCAAGGAGTACTGATCCCTTTTATTAGAAAATGACATTAGAAACCAAGCTGTGGTCACGAGGTGTGCTCATTGCTAGTAGGGTGTCCTTGCTTCTAGGCCTGACAGAGCAAGGAAGTATATAGCACATATAATAACCTGTGTTATACACATATTCCTGTACATAGAGGAATATGTAACCATCTGTATCTATATTAAGCTAAACATGAGTTCATACTAATGTCTCCCACTCTAATCCATTACCACAGATCACTCCCAGGGGTGGGCAAACTTTTTGACTCGAGGGCCACAATGGGTTCTTAAACTGGACCAGAGGGCCGGAACAAAAGCATGGATGGAGTGTTTGTGTGAACTAATATAAACTCAAAGTAAACATCATTACATAAAAGGGTACGGTCTTTTTTTTTTTTTTAGTTTTATTCATTTCAAACAGGCCGGATCCGGCCCGCGGGCCGTAGTTTGCCCACGGCTGCTCTAGTCTCTTCTCCTTGCTTATCTGTAAACTTACACCTATGGCTTCTACCATCAACTATACATTTACTTAATTGTCTAAGTCATATATATATATCAGAGATAACTTTCTCAATAGTATAGTACTAATGTACAGTTTCTTTTGCCTTTAGTTTGATAGGCGCCACATGTTTCCAAAGTCAATTTAGCTTAGCACCCTTTTTCTGCTCCCACGTCAATGAGGTTGTTTTACACATTTGTAATGCCGTTATATTGTTTTGTCATATTCTGCATTTCATTCTAGAATTCAACTGACTTCCTAAATGATTTTTTAAAATTTGCATACGTTAAGATTCACTCTTTATAAAATAAAGTTCAGTGGGTTTTGACAAATGAATAATGTCATGTATGCTAACTACAATTACAGTATCATAGAAAATAGCTTTACTAACTTAAAAAAGTTCTTGTGTTTTACTTATTCAACCCTTTTGCTTCTTCTCAAACCCTTGGCATCTATTGGTCTTTTTGTCTTTCTAGTTTTGCCTTTAGAGAATATCATATAATTGCAATGTAGGTAGCCTCTTCACACTGGCTTCTTTCACTTAGCAATATGCATTTTAAATTCATCCCTTTTCATAGCTTAATAGTTTATTTCTTTTTATCACTAAATACTATTCTATTGTATAGGATTTGCTTATCTAGTGATATTGAAGGATACCTTGATTGCTTCCAGTTTTTGATGATTATGAATACATTTGCTATAAACATCTGTATGCAGGTTTTTATGTTGGCATAAGTTTTCAGCTCAATTGCATAATACCTAGCAGCATGATTGCTGAATCACATGGTAAGACTATGTTTAGCTTTGTAAAAACCTGCCAAACTGTCATTTTGCATTCTCATTAGCAACGAGTGAGAGTCTTTGTTGCTCTGCATCTTCACCAGCATTTGGTACTATCAACGTTTTG